TCTTACAGGCCATGGCCTGCCTCTCGGGCCCCATGTGCCAGCCTGGGACGTGGTAGGCAACGAGCTCATGGTCCCTGTGGCCACACTCTTCCCCGTCTGCTCTGGGGGACCCCACAGCCCACCCTCGGCCAGGAGGGGTGTCAGGAGTTGGCCGCGCCCAGGTCCCGGGGGCCCCGCGTCCTGGGCCAGTCCGCCCTCATCGTCTGCGCCCCATCTCGCCCTCCCTGACCCAGAGGAGTGTTCTGCCACACCCCGAGGGTCAGCACAAACCCAGCGGGGACTTCAGAGCCCACACACCCCGGGGCCTCGGCCTCCCCGGCTCTGGACGCCTCCTCTGGCCCCGCTTAGCCCCCCACTCCTGCTGAAGGAGGCAGAGCAGGAGCGGTGGCATGGATGGAAAGTCGGTGCGTGGGGCAGGCGCCCTCAACAGCCTCCCTGATCGGGGGCCCCCAGGCTCTGCCTCCACGTCTCCCTTGATACTGGGAGATCATTTCCTCTTGAGTCAACCCTTTCTATGATGGGACGGTTTGCCTGCAAGAAGCTTCTTCCTTATATTAAGTGGAAAGCTGTCTCACCGGAAGCCCCACCTGGTAGCCCTCTTCCATCCTGTGGGGCCGCATGAATCAGTCGAGTTCATCTGGCGCAGCTCAGCCCGAAGCTTGGGGAACCAGGTGATCCAGGCGCGAACCCCGGCTCTGCCGCTTACTTTGCCGTGCAGCCTTGGACACATTTCTTTACCTTTCTGGGCCTCCGTTTCCTCATCAGTAAAACGGAGGGCATCACAGCACTTACCCCATCGAGTGATATAGAGATTAGATGAGTTAGGAGATAAAAGCTCTATGAACACCACTTAGTAAGTGCTCAGTAAATCACAGTGTGCGAAGAAAGCTGCTAGGTCTCCTCCTTTACTCCACTTCCCTTGGGCTAGCATCCTTTTAAACATATTCATGGAGAGCAAGACTCCCACATCCTTCCAGCCCTTCCTCAGCTCATACTTTTCACTTGACTTAGCCCTCTTACAACGTTATCTCCACTGTAAAGTGGCGCCACCACCTCTCATGACTTGGAATTCACTCTTTTGTTCATGTGGTGAAGACTAATTAACTCTGCCGGATCAGAGAGTTGGCTCACAAGGTCAGGGAAAATCCCAAGGTCCTTTTCATTTGATCCGCTTAGCGCCTGAAGCCTCGAGACACTCTGCCTCTTGGCGTCTACCTCAGGAGTTCTCCAAGCCCTGCCGGGCATTCTAGACCTTCCTGACACATGCTTTGTATCTTTTCAATGTGGCAACCAAGGTCTACAGGGTCTCTTTCCCCAAATCTCAACTCATCACTTTGTTTCAGTCTTGGAGCAAATCCTGGTAAGCTTCCTCTTCCAGGAAGTCCTCCAGGCTAATCACCCGGTTGCAGCTGATATCTCTGGAACTGCTCCATCTCTGTGGCGGATTCTGGCCTGTCCTCTTATCGCCTCTACTGCGCTGGTCCTTAGGCTCTGCAAGTATGGCCCCTCTTGGTTCTGAGGCCTCGCCCTTATTCCGTTTGTTCCCTCCGCGTGCTCGCGGCTCAGCAGGCAGTGGCCTGTCTGCATTGCTCTCCGCTGTCTAGCAGAGGGCTGGGTGTGAGCACAGACGTGACACCGCACAGAGCAGCCCTTTGCGGTCCTGCCACTTCTAGCGAGCCTCTGCTTCCTCGAGCCGTCCCCACTCGGGACATCCTGTTCCCATGGGCTGCCATGGATGCAGTCCACACGGTCTGACAGACGCCTGGCCAGGCAGGGAAGAAATGAGTGGTTCTGACGCACCCAGCTTCCCTCCCGTCTCCAAACTCTTGGCTATTTTCTTTTTTTTCTTTATTTTCCTTCCTGTGTTGAAAGAGCTACGGGGCCTGGACCACGGTAGGGTTTCCTGGGGACATTCCACAGATTCCTCATGGGCCATTTCTCTGGGTAAACGGGAGGCTGGTGGGAGCCTGGCATTGCTATCAGGTGCCTCCAAGGAGTGTGGGTGGAAAGGAAGGGTGAGTCGCCCGAGGAGAAAGAGGGGTATTATGAGCTCATAGAACCAGGCAGAGAACAGCGAAGCCGAGAGAGAGAGGAGGAGCCAGACTGCACGCTGGAACAAGCTGTGGGCGGCCACACCCCCAGCCTGGTCCTTGAACCCTGCGACTTGCCTCCTTAGCGACCGGTCTGCTGGGATTCCTACAGGGCGAGGAGAACCCGGCTACCTGGAGAGCCTGGCTTGGAAAGGTGCCCCAAGCAGCCCCGTCTGTGTGTGCAAGACGCACAGAGATAATGGGAAGGTGAGCACGGGGCCCTCTCGGCCTAGCTGGGTGGTTCTGCCTTCACTCAGCCCTCATCCGTCCACTCAGAAAACATTAATTCCCTAACTCGGGTCCGAGCCAGCAAAGCGGAGGTGCCAGCCCCTGGCTGAACCCTGCAGCAAGCCTGAACCCGAAGACTGTTCTCGGCCTCCACCCTCAGGCTCCGTGGCTGCCTCTTTATGTAAAAAGGGTGCCAGCTCGGGTGTCAGGGCAAGAGGCAACTTGTCCTCGTCTCTCAGCTCGGATGAGTCACTTTTCCTCTCTGGACCTCAATTTTCCTGTCAAATAACCCTAGCATTGGGCTGCTGCTGCTGCTAAGTCGCTTCAGTCATGTCTGACTCTGTGCAACCCCATAGACAGCAGCCCACCAGGCTCCCCCATCCCTGGGATTCTCCAGGCAAGAACACTGGAGTGGGTTGCCATTTCCTTCCCCAAGTATTGGGCTAGATGGTCTCTAAGACTTCTCAGAAAAGGGTTCTATTTTTCAAGATAGTTTTGGGGCCCACCCCAGGTGGGAACATTTGATGAAAGGATGAGGCAGGAAGAAAGAAATGTGAATGAAGCATGGCTCCTGCCTTTAATAGAACTTTTAAGAGAACAGAGACAGGGTCACAGGAATGATCCAGAAGAGTGACTGAAGGTTCCAGAAGGACAGGAAAAGATGCTGAGCACCAGCCTAGTTGTGAGTACTGCTGGCCTTAGAAAGTCCTTGTGCAGCTGAGAAGGAGGTGGTCTCTATGGGCAGATGAAACAGTAAGAGGACCCCCCGAGTGTATGTTTATACTCGAGGGCACGTGTCTTGACAAGGAAAGTTCAGGCTAGACTTCAACTCCCATAGACCCCTTGGCCCAAAGTCCCTGGGCAAAATCTACTCGACTGTATAGACAGCCCTACAGAAAAGTAGCCAGCCTCAGAGTGTCCGAGATGAACCCTGGGGATAGAATATCTGCTGTGCTGTCGTTCAGTCATGTCTGACTCTTTGCGACTCCATGGACTGTAGCTCACCAGATCCTCTGTCCATGGAATTCTCCAGGCAAGTACTAGAGTCCATTGCCCTTTCCTCTTCCAGGGGGTCTTTTTGATCCTACACTACTTTTTAAAAGTCAAAGTATAGTTGATTTATAATGTTGTGTTAGGTTCAGGTATGTGTGTGTGTGTGTTCGTTGCTCAGTCGTGTCCGACTCTTTGCAATCCCATGAACTGTCCCCTGCCAGGCTCTCTGTTCATGGACTTCTCCAAGCAAGAATACTGGAGTGGGATTCTCCAATCATGAATACTGGAATGGGTTGCCATTTCTTTCTCCAGGGGATTGTCCCAACCCAGGGATCGAACCCGGGTCTCCCCCACTGCAGGCAGATTCTTTACCATCCGAGCCACACCATACCGATTCATATTTAAATATACACACTCTTTTTTAGATTCTTTCCCAGAATATACCACTTTTAAATCCTAGTGGAATCTCAGAAGGCCAACCCCTTCCCTCTCCACTTCTGGAAAAGCAAACAGAGGGACCACACACATCCTGTGTCCTGGGCCTGAAACCAAGCCGGGGCCCGCAGTCCCAGGCGGAGCAGAGGGCGCAAGGCTGGAAGAGGCAGGAAGCTCACCCTGGAGTGAGGAAAGGCTTAAGGGGCTCTGGTACCACGAGAAGAAGAGGTCTGCTGGGCTCAGCACCTCAACATGGACCAGTTTTTCTCACCTCCTTTGGCAACAACTCAGAACAAGCAGAACACGGAACTTCCGCCTCAGGCCCCTTCCCTGCCACCCTCCTTCCCAAACAACACCTCTCCCGAGGGTCTAAATGAATTAGGAGGGAAGAGCCACAGGGTTGATGTCAACATCAAAGGAGAGATGCAGAGAGGTCTGGCCGGTGCCTTGATCCACAGGTGGGGGCGGAGGAAGGGGGCAGGAGGGAGGGATGAGCTTGGGAAAAAGGGATTAGCAGGGACCGGAAAGAATGCGGCGGCTGTAATCCCACGTAATGAACCAGACTACGCTCCGTCGTCTCCACACCCAGAGCGCCAGACAAGCAGGTACAAGCTGCTGGCCTCAGCCTGCCACGCAGGAGGCTTCCCGCGCTGCCAGCCCCAGAGGGCCCATGCCCTCCTGCAGGCAGAAGTGCCCAGGGCACACACACACACACACACACACACACACGGGATAAGACGTCTGCTTCCTCCTGGGTCCTGGGGGTGCGGACAGAGGGTTGGGGAAGGGTCTGTGATTGCAGGAAAAGAAAAGACAGGGGAATGGCCTCTAAGCCAGGCATGGATACCATCCCAGAGCTGCACCCCGTTTGCTGAGAATCGGGACCCATCGTCTGCTTCAAGCAGCTGCTTGGGACTCAATGAAGACTTCTGCTCAGCTCTAGAAGCTGTGGGGAGGGATTTGTGATGTGGGCCATTCATAATATAGATAATCAAAAAATCAGTTCTACTTGATTTGAAGACAATTTTTTTTTCCTCCTTTAGACAGACACACCTTCCCAATTCCTTGGTGTTTCAACAATATTGAAATATGTTTATATTCTCAAGACACTCATTGATCAACAGCTAAAGGAAGTAGCCGGAAGATAAACCACGAATTAACTCCTAGTGCCGTCTCGATTTTAACTGCCCCCCACCCCAAGAAAACCGAGTTGCCTATAGTTACAGTTTGCGACATCCAGGCCCAGCCTCCTACCTTCTTCAGCTTGCCGCTTTTTGTCCCCACGAACACCACGCTGTAGCCGTTGTAAACATAGGAGGCCACCGAGGTCATGCGGTCCCGGCTGGTGGTGTACAAGGTCAGGCCCTCCACTGGGACCGAGCCTCCAAGCGGCTGGTTGATGTCCAGCCCACAGAAGTTGTCATCGATGGGCACTGGCTGGAGAGAAGGGAAGGGACCCGGGTGAGTATCAGCAGAGGCACGGCCGAGCCAGCCCACACCAGCCCAGCCTCTGCGGGCTCCAGCCTGGAACACTGGGCCTCGGAGAAGTGCAGGCGTGGGCACTGACATACGCTGCACGCGCAGACCTGCACACCCGGCCTATGAACCCACACTGGCTCCAGTGAATCCAGAGAGGACCCAGCAGCTTTCTTCTCCTTCACCCACTGCCACCCAGAGATCACCAGCGGCAATCTGCAAAACTGATGGCTGGAACTCACGTCCTTGTCCTTGAAACTCCCTGTGGCCCATGCCACTGGGGGCGCTCTTTCTGTTTAGACAGTGAAGATTCAGTCTAGAGGCAACCTCACAAGATTCTTACCAGCCTGGAGGGGCCTCCTTATTTGTTTCCTGGACTGCAAAGTCCTGCCGCTGGGCATAAGGAATTTTCAGTCATTCCACATCCCATACTGGGGATAGACTGAAAACAGTTGTCATAATATGGAACAGTGCCTTATACTTTGGAAAAGTTACTTCATCTATGTGAATCTCAGTTTCTTCATGTGTCATACTACCTGCCCACCTGCCTAAGAGAATCACTGGAGGGGAAAGGAAATAACACCCGCAAAGATAGGTTAATAGTACAGTGATTTTCAGGCTTCCCGCATAGTTCAGTGGGTAAAGAATCCACCTGCATGCAACGCAGGAGACACAGGCTCTGCCTGGGTAGGGCAGATCCCCTGGAGGAAGACATGGCACCCCACTCCAGTATTCTTGCCTGGAGAATCCCATGGACAGAGAAGCCTGGCGGGCTACAGCCCATGGGGTCACAAGTGTCGGACACGCCTGAGCGACTAAGCACAAGCGTACAGAGATTTTCACCATCGTCTGCTACAGGTCTTCGATGGAATTTGGGCAGATTCTGAGGATGAAGACCTTCCTGTTAGCAGCCTTTTGCAGGGTGTGCTTGTATAAAGAGTATCTGTCAGGAGAGACTGGGGCACTTCGAAAGGAGATGGCCTTAAGCAAGTGGAAAAATAGCTGGAGAGAAAGATTTCTACCCTCTGCCCCACCTCTGTGTGGCTGTGAACTTGAACTAGTAACATCTTCTTTAGGAGGTTTTAAATTATTTCCAAGCTCTCACTCAGCTGAAAAAGAAGAAGAAGAAGAAAATAGACTGCATGCATCCTGAAGCCAGGGCCTGCTAAGGAGCTTTCATTCTCTGCACACTGTCTGGCCTGGGCTGGGCCATGATGGGTCCTCTGAAATGGCCTGGCTGATTACACAACAGGGAATCCTTTGGGCAAAAGCTGCAGACTCTGGGCCTGAAAGAGCACTGAGCCCTATTGCAGCTGTTCCTTCTGGGTCTGGGAATGCATCCCGGGGAGGAAGGAAATGATGGTCACAGGAAGCATGGAAGGCATGGTGGAGAGACGTATTCCCATCACACTCCTCCTCTCAGCCACACCAGGGAAGAGTGGGCTGACTTACTGCCCCCTGACAGCCTCATTTCCTAGGAAGAACTGGTGTATCAGCGTGGGTTTTTTTTTCCTTTTGGTAAAACAGGGACTTCCCTTCCATTCCCTGTTCAGACCCCACGGGAAGAGAGCTTGCATCCCTGTGATTCCTTGGTGTTTGGCAGTGTCTGCGGCTCCAACAAGTGAATCATGGCACTGTCCTTGTGTGTGGTTGTCTGTGTGTATGTGTGTGTGTGTGTTTATTATTTAGGAAAGGAAACCTAACTCTTAGGTTAGGGATTTCCTTGAACTCTGGATTTCATGCAGCTCTGCACAACGGAAGGGATACGTTTCTCGGGAAGGTAGTGAAGCAATGACCTGCTCCAGCCAGCTCAGGAGGGATGCCCGCCCATACATCTATCTCTGCATTTAGTGACATCACCTCAGTGGCCTGAAATCATCCACAGTGGGAGTATTTGCACCAAGGACATTGGCAGATGCTTCTGATCAAGATCCCCCAGCCCCATCTCTTCCCTACCAAATTCACTGCTGGCATATAGCCATCCGTTTTAAGACTCACCAGACATCCCTGGAGCCAATGATGGAAATTTCAAGCTTCCTAGAAAGGCAGGTCAGAGGACTTAGCTACCGCTTATTTTCTACTTCTCTTTCCCATCCCTACGCTGTAGGCCCAAGTGCCCTGATAAAGAATGAGGAAATCTAGATTGTAGTCCTGCCTCTACCACTAGCCAGCCATGAGATCTTGATGTATCACATACCCTCTTTGAGTCTGAATGTTCTCAAGTGTAAAAGAAAAGGACTGGACCAGGCAATCGTCAGGCTGCCTTTCGCTCCGGAAGTTCCTGATTTCATGGCCTTGCTTTCTTTCCCACTCTCTCCAGGGGCCAGCAAGGGTGAGAGCCTAGGCTCAGGCATAACGCAAGCCAGCTTCTGAGAAATGATGACAGAAGCTGAACACTTGTCGGTGATTCTGAATTTCTCTATATCCCTCCTGAGTCTAGAATCCCCAGACCGGGAGGGAAATGGCTTGTTCTGAGCCTAAGCTGCCAGGATTGGGCAGCATTTCTTTCTCTCTTCTCTAAGTTGTCAGATATTCCCAGACACCTGCTGCCCGTTTACTTTTGTCCAGAAAGGGAGAGCCTGAAGCATGGCTTTCCTTAGTAGCATCATGGCTAAACGCGAAGAGCTTGGATTCACAAGTCCTATGGGCTGAACTGCATCCAACCCCCTGCTGTGTCATTTATGGTTGTATTGATGTTAGCAGTTGAGTTTTTGGGATCTTTATTTTTCCATCTGTCAACCATCCTTGCTTTATAGGGTCATACTCAGGATCAAGTGAGATAACCCTTAAGTTGCCCAGCACAGCCTTTAGGACAGAGCTTCTATTCAGTGAGTGAGGGTTCCTTTTCTCATTTCTTTTCTGGGAAGCAAGCTCAAAATCTTTTATCTGAGAGTTTCATGTGAGTCCAAAGAGCATGTTAAAATTAAGCCCTGGGACCTCAGCTTCTCTCACTCACTTTAACCCCCTATGAGGCCACCGGAATGCCTCTGGGTGCCCGGGTCTGGGACTATACGGACAGTAAGGGGCCCTTCTGGTTGCCCCCACCGCACCCCTGCTATCCAGGCGGCCCCAGCAGAGTCTGATGCTCAGGGTGGCCGTGGTGAGTGCAGGGCTGTTCTTTCTGAGTCCGGCCCACCTGCTGTCCCCGCCTTTGAGGCCCTTTGGTTACTAGCCCGGGCTTGTCTCTGCAGACGGGGGAGCCCTGCGAGGGTGTGGGCTCTTCCTCCTTCCTCTGGCTCAGAAGCAGGCAGGAATCAGCAGTTTCCTCCTGACAAGGCCCCCTCTGGGCAGTGGGAACGACAGACTCTGCAAGGCGTTAACCCTTTCGTTTCCTCTCCTCCTCTCTATTTTTTAAGAGCTTGAGGGAATTTTATTTATTCATTTAACAAACCTGTGGTGGGCAGCCTGCTGTGCTGACCGAAGGCCACTTCTTCTTTTTTTTTTTGGTTGTCAATCTGCATTTTTGTTTTATTATTTTTTACATTTGTTTTTAATTGGAGGATAATTGCTTTCAATACTGGGTGACATCCGCTGTACAATAACGTGAATCAGCTGTAAGTAAACATATACACCCGGCCTCAGGAGCATCTCTCCCCACATCCAGGTCATCGCAGGGCACTGGCCTGAGCGCCCTGGGTTATGCAGCACCTTCTCACTAGCTGTCTGTTTTACACATGGCAAGGTATATATTTCAATGCTTCTTTCTCAATTCGTTGGGGCCATAGGTTTTATTTTTTTATTTTTTTTTATTTTTTTAATTTTTATTAGTTGGAGGCTAATTACTTTACATCATCACGGGGAGGCTGTGGTACATATACACCATGGAATACTACTCAGCCATTAAAAGGAGTTCATTTGGGTCAGTTCTGATGAGATGGATGAAACTGGAGCCCATTGTACAGAGCGAAGTAAGCCAGAAGGATAAAGACCATTGCAGTATGCTAACACATGTATATGGACTTTAGAAAGATGGTAACGATAGCCCTATATGCAAAACAGAAAAAGCGACTCAGATGTATGGAACAGACTTGGGGCCATAGGTTTTAGAATTTCAGGGCTGTAAAGAACTTTGGAAACTATCTAGCTCAACCTCCTCATTGTATAAAGGTAAAATAACAAGAAATAATTGGTTCTTTAATTAATACATAGCTGTCATTTACTAGACGCTATGTGCCAAGTATTGTGCTAGTGCATACTTTTTCTATTTAATTCTCATAAAAACCATAAAAAAAGACTTCTTTCTATTGTTAAAATAAAAACACAACTCAGATCAGGTACGTAACTTGCCCAAAGTCACACAAGTGGTAGGACTGACTTTTAAATACAAACCTGTTGGAATGCCAAGCCTATGGCCTTAACTACTGTCTTACTGTACCAGGAAACTGACAGTAGGAACAGAAGCATAGCCTATGTGTGATTTTTTTTTTTCTTCTTGCTTTAAGAAGTGGCTTTTGGTCCCAGTAGCAGACACCCCCCCTTTAGGGGGTTCAAAAGTGACTCCATACGGGTCACTTGGAGTCAGATTGTTCCCCAGGCTATAGATCTGTCCACAGGACTTTGCACAGAAATCCATCTTAGCATTTGTCACACTGCATAACAGTTAACTAATAATGGCCAACCTAATACCCCAGGCATGGTGTTAATCTTGCCACATCTGATCTCATCTGATCATCCCATGAAGCAGGTATTATGAGTCCCACTTCACAGATGATGATGTAGACACACTAAGCCACTTCTGAAGCCAGGAAGTAACACAGATGGAATCTAAACTCTGAATCCCAAACTCTTCGGCATTACATGATGCTGCCTACTATTTTTATCTCTCACTCTCTTGCCCATTGGATTATGATACGTTGGAGAGTCACGATTGTGTCTTTTTTATGTCTGCATTCCCAGTGCCCAGTACTGTGCCAGGCACTCGAGAGATCCTCAATACCCTCTTGCTGAATGGATGGACGGAGGGAGGGATGAAGGGAAGAATGGAGGGGTGGGTAGGTGGATGGCGTGATGGGCAGATGGACAGAAGGATGGATCCTGGGGACCACGGATATGGTGGCATTCTGACCCTCTCACAGGACGGGGCTCGCCGCCGACTTCCTCGTCTCTGCCACCCTCAGGTCTGGACTCTGAACTCCCCTTCCTCTCCTCCTTTCCATCTGCTGGGACACCTGGTTCTTCTTCCCTAGTTTTCAACCTATCAGTCACACCTGACTCCCTTCGCCCTGCTCCAGCCTACATGCCTGCCTGCCTCCGTTACCCTTCACCGTGGCCGGCAGGGCCCTGCGTGGGCAGGGTGTGGTCCCTGCTACCCTGACCGGCCTCCTCTCGGGCCACACTTTCTGCCACCTGTGGTGGTCCAGCTGCAGTGGCCTCCTCGCTCTTCCTCACATGCTCCGGGCACGCCCAGCATCTCTGTACTGCTGCCCCTGCCCGCTCTCGAATGCTCTCCCCAGATACCCACCGGTCTGGCTCTTCCTCATTCTTCGCTCAGATGTTGCTTTCTCAATGAACCAATCCTCTTGGGTCCTGCCTCTTCCCATTCCCTGCCTTATTTTCTCTACAGCAATTGTCACCACTGGACAGACTACCCGTTCTATGTATTTCTCTGTCTTGCCTCTCTAACGAAGTGAGTGAGGGGTTTTCCCTGGTGGCTCAGAAGTTAAAGAATCTGCCTGCAGTGCGGGAGACCCAGGTTCGATCCCTGGGTTGGGAAGATCCCCTGGAGGAGGGCATGGCAACCCACTCTACTATTCTAGCCTGGAGAATCCCCATGGACAGAGGAGCCTAGCGGGCTACAGTCCATGGGTTCGCAAAGAGCTGGACACAACTGAGCAAAAGTCGTGGACACACACACAAAAGCTCCATGAGGGCAGGTCGTGATGTGGTAGGGTTCACGGCTGAAGCCGGCAGCTTTTACAACAGTGGTTGGTGGGGTGGAGACACTGGATGAGATATATGTGGAATGACTCTGCGGGATCAACAAACGTAGCTCAAGTGCATGAGCCAGCCACCTCTCTCATTGCAGGCTGCGGGGGTCTGGGTTGTTCGGTAGCAGACTCATGCCTGACTCTTTGTGACCCCGTGGACGGTAGCCCCGGAGGCTCCTCTGTCCATGGGGCTTTCCAGGCAAGAATACTGGAGCGGGTTGCCCCCTCCTCCCCCAGGGGATCTGGGGGCCGGCATGTACCGAGCCGGGTGTGTGCCGGGGGCGGCCTCCTTACCGCCTTGGTGCACTGCACGTCCTTCCCCAGCAGCCAGTTGAGTTCCAGGTTGCCCTCGCCCTGATAGCAGGACTGCAGGCGCTCCTTGATCTGCAGGTTGACGGCGCGGATGGGGAAGGCGCAGAGCGCGCAGTCATCTGGCGGGTGGTGGTACTGCTTCTGCCCTTTGGAGAAGATGGCGAAGAGCACGTCGTCCTGGCCGCTGATGTTGAAGGCCCGCGCCAGGGCGTCCCCGGGCTTGGCGAGGTAGGCGGCCTGCAGGAGGCGGTATTCCACGCCGGCCCGCGTGCAGCCGAAGGGCAGGGACACGTAGGAGTGGAACTTGGGGTCTTCCTTGCAGAGCCGCACGATGCGCGAGGTGTAGAAAAGGTCCCCGGCCGAGTTGATGGCCACGCCCTCGGGGGTCTCGGGCTGGACCGTCAGGAAGTAGACGAAGGCCCCGCTGGCGAAGCCGTAGATGTAGAAGATGTCGAAGTGGGCCACCAGGGCCAGGGTGTCGGAGGGGATCTTGATGAGCGAGGAGACGAAGTCGCTGTGCAGCTCGTAGTCGAGCATGGCGGAGGACTCGGGGTCGCGCGGCAGCTTGCGGCTGGACAGCGTGGGGAAGTAGTCCTGCTTGCCGTCCACGGCCGTGCCGATGAAGAGCTTGCCGTCCTCGCCCTCCGAGCGCACGATCACCCCGTACATCGTGCCCGTCTTGTTGACGCTGGACAGGTAGTGCTCCTTCTTGTGGGACGGCTCCACCAGGATGAAGAGGTCGTCGAGCCGCAGCAGCTTGCACACGCCCTGGTACAGGCTGCCGCAGGCCAGCAGCCGGTTCTCCGAGTAGTCGATGATGAGCAGCTTGTTGACGTTGTTGGTCAGCGTGAGCACCTCGCCGCAGGGCTGCACGATCAGCGGCGGGTAGCAGGACCTGTTGTCCTCCTCCGGCCCGGTCTTGTGAGCCACCTGAATGGTGAGGTTGCCCGTCAGCTTGTACACGCGGTTGATGGCCCCCACGTACACCGCCCCGGTGCCGCGGTGCACCGTCAGGTGGTTGAAGGTCCAGTCCCGGTTCTCCGAGTGGAAGGTGCTGAACTGGGGCACGCCGGCCGCCCGGGGCGCCAGCAGCACGCAGACGGCCGAGAGCAGGACCACAGGCCAGCCGTCCCCGTCTGCCGCCCGCGGCCAGGGCCTCCTGTGTTCCATTCTGAGCCGGCCGGGGCCCGAGACACAGGGCCTCCGATCTCTCGCGAACTCCGCCTCCCCGGCCTGGCCCTCACATGGTTCTGCAAAACACAAGGCAGACTGGTCAGACGGAAAACAAATCCCCGGAGAACCGGGTTGCTTGACCCAGGTCCCCGCGCCTACTAGCTCTGTGAGCCTCTTCCTTCTGTATTTGGGTTTTTCTATTTTTAACATACATTCTCCCTCTTTGGGATGTTCAGGGAATCCTATTATCTATTTTGGTCTCCAGCTTTGACACTGTAAAATGCTTTTTTTTTTTTTTAAACTTTACAAAGCATCTCTATTTCTGTCCTCTTCAGATATCGTTTTTACCTCTCAGAGAGGTTAACACTTAGTCCCCGCAGCCAGTGGATCCCAGTGTGGGGACTAAGGCCAGTCTTCCCACCCAGTTGCCAGGTTCCTCCTGCTTGCTCCCAGTCCAGTGAAAAACGCTCCAGCCTGTGAAACACCAGTGGTTAGGGAGGCCCTCTCCCAGGCTGTCCCTTCCAAATCTGGTGTCACATATAAAATTCCTTTTTATTTCAGCTGTCCACCACCTCGCACTGTGGGTTTCCTCTTTCACGCTCTGTCCCCCACAGGGAAGGAAGGAGGGGAGCTGGTCATCCTAACATTGCCTCTCGCCGCCCTTCAGCCTGGTCCTCTCTAGAGAGAATCCCGCAGTGTTAGCAGGGAAAACTTGTTCTGGGAGTGCGCTAGGCCCGGGGCCCCCACAGGTGCTATTCAGGAGCCTGAAGAATCCCCGGGGAACGGGCAGACAGCCACCCACCCCTCCTCCCTGGGACAGGAGGACCTCAGCCACTGCCTCCCCAGGAAGCGGGGGCCCTGTTGCCGCATTTGCAGGTCGAGTCCAGCGGGGACAGCCTCCTTAATCACGGGGACTGGCGGGTGGGTCCAGCCTCAGCCACCCGGGTGAGGGTTCTGGGTTTGGGAGACCGTGGGGAGGGGCAAAAGGGAGGTGAGTTGAAGGTCAGTCTCATGGCAGCCACCGCTGGGGCCCCGTGATGATTTAAGGCTCCATGCGGTCAACCTCAGGCTGCCCGCCCCAGCCGGTCAGTCCTCTGCCCTGACTTCCCTGCTCCCTCCCTACCCTCCCAATCCCCAGGTTCTGCAGCTTTTCCTACTATTCCAGGGAAGCTTGCCCAGACGGGCAAGGTGGGGCTCCCGCAGGCCTTCAGAGACTCCTGAGCAGGGGGTAGACAGTGGAGGCTTCCCAGCGCTCTGCCTGCTTCTGATTTTTATGGGGGAGGTGGGCACAGTGGTGCCTCTAGCAGAGAAATCTTTTCTCTCGGCTGGACAGACTGGCCGGCAGCCTTCTCAGACAAGTCCAGACAGAAGTCTGGGCGCTGAGGCAGGAGGAGTGGAAAGGCTCAAGCCCAGGATGGAGCACGTGCTCCAAGGTGGCCTAGGAGAGTCCAGTTCAGTTCAGTGCAGTCGCTCAGTCGTGTTGGACTCTTTGTGACTCCGTGAACCGTAGCACGCCAGGCCTCCCTGTTCATCACCAACTCCTAGAGTTTACTCAAACTCAAGTCCATGGAGTCGGTGATGCCATCCAATCAGTTCATCATCTGTCGTCCCCTTCTCCTCCCGCCTTCAATCCCTCCCAGCATCAGGGTCCTGGGTCTCTTTATTTATCCCCCACCTGGCTATACGGGGCTGGAACCTGGGATCGAATAGATGCCCCCTGCGGGATCCACTTGCTCTCTGCTCCGTGTCTTTTGAAACTCCCCCTGTCCTCCGCAACTGCGCTTCCCATGCCTGACAGCCCCCACGGTGCCAGAGGTGGGCCCCACCTGACCGCTCTCCTCCAAGGAGGTTCCACTGGGGTGCTGTTCTGGGGTGATTCATCAGGCCCCGGGCTTCCTTGGAAAGAGGAAGGCGCAGCGGCATGAGGCCTGGGCTGACCTCAGGGGCTCTGACACAGCCCTTCCGGCCCCATGCGCTCACCGGCAAAGCCTCCCGACAGACAGAGCTTTCGATTTGAAAATCAGAGGTTATATTTAGCTACGTCCTGGGGCCAGTAGCCGGACGTGAATTCCTCAAGAGGAGCTGCGGAAAGGAAATAACAGAACCCTCCCATTCTCCATCTGGGTAGAGAGCTGCAGGAGGCTGGGCTGTGCGTGCCCCTTCTCTGGGTAGGAGAGCTCGTTTGCCTACAGGTGGAGGGCAGTGTGTTCCCCATTCCCCCGACCTTCCCGCCATGAGGATTATAGTTGCCATCGTGATGTACTTGGGGTTTGGCCTTTTAGGCAGTGTTCTCTGAGACACTCTGGCATTGAGTACGTGGGCAGAGAACCCCTGCCTCCCCCACAACATGCATGCACAGACATGCTTAGCCCATGGCGGGGAGGAAGACGGTCCCAGGAGCAGAGGTGACACCAGAGGACACCAAGGGAGGTTGAGATCACCTGTCTCACCTCCCCGCCATGCATCCTCCAGACACACAGTTTGAAGAGTGAGTGGCTTCTATTGTCAGGCAGAATCTGGGAAGAAATTTGGGACCTTGGGTAAGTCCAGTCTCATCCTCCTTTCTGGAAGGATGGGATGATGACGGTACCGACCCCTCGGGTTGTCATCAGAGTCAATGAGATGATGCGGGGAAGCCTCTTAGCATGGGACCTGGCACTCAGTGAATGCTTAACTCACACTAGTTATTATTATCATTGAAGCCTCCCCAAGAGACTGCGCTTTAGGAATCCTGCCAGACCTCCTGGCTTCTCTTTTTGCTCATATTCTTCCTTTCCATGGGAATGAACACTGTGGGCAGACCGCTGAGCCCCAGCCCTCCCTGGCCCGTGAGGGTGTGCATCAGAGAAAAGGGAATAGACTGAAGGTGATCATCTCCAGCACACTACTGCACAAGCCCCAGCACGGCTCTCTGCAGCCTGCAGGGAGCTTGGTGGAGGTATAGGATCCGAAGAGTTGACGTGAGTGGGAAAACTGGCCTGGTGGCCAGAAGGCATGGAGTCATAGGGCAGGGGGCAGAGTGGGGAACTCAGAGAGACCTGCGTTCAAATCCTGCCTGTGTCACCATGAGTTGTGTGGCTTTAGGCTTCTCCAGCGTCAACCCGAGTCTACTTCTTGATCTTAAAATAAAGGGTGTTATTTGATCTTAAAGAATGCTATTAAAACAAAGGATGTCATAACCAGTTGGTACCATTTCTTTCTTCAGACAAAAATGGTATCTTGAGACTTGCTGCTTTCAGCTTCTAGAGTCAATAATTGCAATAACAGCTGAGGTCCTTCTGGTTAAATCTAGAGGTCTCAACAGACCAGTAGTTGTACTGCTTTCCCCTTCCCTCTCAATCAGTGTCTACTCTGGGACAGACTGCTCCCGGGGACCAGCCACACAGACTCCTTCCACTGGGCTCAAGGGTGGTCCACCTGGGAGCCGCAGGCACTAGAGCCTCAGGGTCAAGAGGAGATGGGGTCTCCTGCAATGCAGGGGAGGGACGCTTGCATCCCACACCTTGGAATTCACAAGGACCAATAAGCTTCAAGAGTGAGTCAAGAGCCCCTGTCTTTCAATGCCAATGCTGACGTTATCAGGCAGTTCTTCCAAAGCGGGGGCTGTTCGGCAAGGATCAAACCTCCGGTCTGAGTTCAGAGTGAGAGAGAAGGGTACCCACCTCTGATGAGAGGCCATGTAGTGTAATGGAGAGACTCATAAGCTCTGAATTTAGGTGCTTGGATTCAAACAGAGGTGATAGCTGTGTAAACTTGGTCAAGGTACACAGCTGTTCTCTGATGCTATCTCATTAGATGTAAAGAGATTGGCACTAGCATCTACCTCATAGGGTTACGATGGTGAAGTCATTTAATACACATAAATACACTTAGAACACATAAATACACTTAGAACAATGCTTGGTCCATTATAAATGTTTGAGATACCTTAGCCTTTATTAGTGGTAATCTATTTGTCAATATTCCCAGCTTTTCATCTCCGTCTATCCCACGGTCTGTCTTAGAATGAATTTTCCATCCTTAATTTGGTAGAAGCCAGCGAACATATGCATATGATTGTGTAGAGCTAGCATTTCCTCCTCACCCCAGTGTCCCCCTCGGGGATTTTCTCCATGATGCCCCCTTCCTGTCCCTTTTCCTCTCTCCGTCTAGTTTGTGAAGTCACCGTGCCACACGTGTTCCCAAGAACCACACATGCTGAGTGGCTGTTCTCCTACCAGCTTCCCTCTCCCCCGCCCCAAGTCTCAAGGAGGATGTGCTGCCCCGGGATGCCAGCTCTACCCGCAAAGCACTCAGAGCACTGATGCCAAGGGGAGGCCACACTTGCCTCTTTGGGAATCAAGAGTCACTAAATATTTCATTTTGAGGGCCTGGTGCCACCATCTCCCTGATGAGGCCTCAGGAGGCAGGTGTTGGTGACAGCTAGAGAAGGCATCTAATACCTTCCCTATCAGATGCTGCAGGCATCAGGGGCAAAACAGGGACGAGATGACAATCAGGCATTTCCAGCTCAGCTCAGCGAAGGATGCTCTCCTCCCTACAACCCGCCCTGTTGCCTTTTGCAGGATATCTGGGAGCACAAGCCTCTATGCGTATTGCCCCCCGGCCCCCTTATTGCAAAAGGAAAGAAGAGGAGGCAGGAAGAGGAATTAGTGTTGGAATACAATATTTCTAAACTCAGTGAAAGTTCTTGATGCTAGAGCTCCAAACTTTGGGCCCATCTGCAGCTCCTCCATCGTTCTGTCATCGCCATCACCAGCACCATCATCACCAACATCATCCAGGCTATGATATTTTTCATCACAATAACAGGAAAGGTGTCTGTTATTATAACTGCGTCAAGTAGGTGGCTCACACAGCCAGGATCCCGAGAAGCCAGAATCCAGACAGTTAAGTATGAGAATGACGGCTGTGCTCTATTTATAACAGGCAAGTCGTGGAAGCAACTACAGTGTCCATCCACAGAGGAATGGATCAAAAGACATGGTACACATACACAGTGGAATATTACTCAGTCATGAAAAACTGAAATATTGCCATTCGCAGCCACATGGGTGGACCTAGGCACTAT